CAATCCAAATCCCTCGATATCTCCCCAAAATCCTTTTAAATAAGTTCTGTCAATTTTAGCGCCAAAGACAAAATTTAAAATTATATGAGGCAGTAGGACAAAAGTTCACTTTGTTTATCAATCCTCTCCATCAGGGCTGTGCGCCAAAATTTTCGCGTGGCGCGCCAAACGCCAAACGCCAATTTTTTAAATTTTAAAAACACGCCAAACGCCAAACGCCAAAAATCGGCCAAAATCAACGCCAAAACGCCAAACGCCAAACGCCAAAATTTTTAGAGTCTATAAAGACTTAAAAATCACTGTTCATCTCACTTTAGCGCCGCAGGCGAAATTTTTTTAATTTTCAAGATTCCTAGAAGCCAGATTCATCCTTTTTTTAACGCCTGAGTGAAATTTTTGAGATTTTTGGAGGCAAAAAAGCCGAAATTCATCCTTTAAAAAATTTTAAAAGACCTACTATGGCAAACATAAAGATGAAAATATGAAATAAAACCTCTCCTTTTTTGCGCGGCATGCGAAAGTTTTCTAAATTTTGGATGGCGAGGAGCTATATTGTCAAAAATAGAAATGGAAAGAAAAACCCTCAAAAATCGAAATTTCGAAACAGCTCTGGGAAGAATTAATTTTTGTATCCATTTTTTCCTCCTTTTTGCCATAGTACATATTTGCCAAAAATTTAAAATAAAATATTAAATAAAAAAAATATTAAATAAAATATTATATTTAAATTTATTTTTAAAAATTAAAAGAAATTATTAAAAAATTTGTTTTAACTTCTAGAGGATGTTAGAAATTTATAACATTGTGGAGTAAAATTTAATTTTTTGTCTTCAGAACATACAGTAGTCTTGTGATTCAAGTACGACCCTTCCAGTCCTGTCTCTAATTCATATTCTTTCTGCAAGTTCGAACACGACAGACCCAAACCGTAAACCGAAATTAATTAAAGAAATAATGGCTTTACTACTGCTAATTTGAGAGGCGAAGGTCCTCACCCATTCCTCAATTTAGCCTCGATCGGTCGGAACTGACCCTCGTCTCAGTCCTTACCATGAACCGCGCTAAGGACCGAGTCTAAAGTACCGAGACTCGAGGAGCGAGGCGGTGATTCAGTGGTCTTCTTGGAATATTCTGGCTCTCTCAAACTCTTCACCGGCAATTGTTTTCAAGCCTTGGCAATCTCCCATATCTTGGTTTCTTCAAAAATACATTCAACCAACTCTACTGTTACCAACTTTACTACCAACGACTGTTTCGGACTTGTTTTTGTCATGCCGATCCGAGTCACTTTCGGGCCAAACATCTAGGCCCGACTCGATCTTTCGGTCCGTGTAGGTCCATTTTGGCAACCCTACTTTTATCTTAAGCAAAAAAAATATGTAACATTAATTTTAAATTTAAAATAAAATTATTTATTAAAATATTTATTTAGTCAAAAAGCTTGTTTAATTAATTAATCATTTGTTTGCTAATTTATACATTTGTTTGCTTTTACATACAAAAATATATTTTTAGTTTTTAATAAAAATAATAAAAAATAAATAAAAGAAATTGATTTAAGTAGCTAAACATTTAATTTTAAAATTTTTGATAAACATTTTGTTTTATTTTTTATCCACTTGATTTGAAAAATATTATCAAACTCAGCAAAATATTATTTAACCCCTGTCCCTTCCCCATGTGATTTTGGAAAAGAATTTTGAACGGAGAGACGCAGGATGTTCAGGTTAACTCCAATCTCTTCCCAGATTTTTTAGCTTGAATACCGGTGCGAAGGAAATTTTGAAAACCCGAGCACGAATCAACTATTTTCTCAGCCTGAGACATACCTCCTAGAGGAAGTATTTTTTGATTCATAATTTTTCGCTTTTTAAAGTGTCTTTAGTCTTTCGATTCATAAAATCTGTCCAGATTACTGCCTAGAAGCAGATATGGGTATCATGGATAACTGGGCCGTAATCTTCCGTAAAGGGGATATGTAATACGATATTCTGAATAAATTACGTTATTTTATTTAATTTAATTATGGAACTTAATATTATAATAATTTTGAAAATGCTTACATTCTCATTTGTTCTAAATTCATCAAAAGCAGACTGGTCACCATGGAATGCTTGGTCATTATGTTTCGAAAAAAATGGAAGTATCTCGTTATTTTATTAATAGAACTATTTAATTTTAGTTTGGGCACAAACCCGAACACGTACATGGCTAGGCGATTTTAATTTAAACCCTGGAAATAATCAACAAGCTAGAGCATGTCCTCCTGAAGCAGGTGGATCAAATTTGATATTATATCTCCACTATCTCAACATGCTTCCCGTTTAGTCTTTCATTTATTTTCTTTTATCCGATATTAACAAATTGTCCAAGGCATATAATGTCACTCAAATGGCCATTTTATTTAAAAATGCCATGTTATTAGGTAATTGCGTGGGAGAGGAGCAGGATGTAGGTAGGGCGAAGAAAAATCTAGAAAAAGGTTCGAGCTCGGGTAGCTCCAATACGAAAATTTCTAGCCGAATATCTATCCTATATGTACTCCAATTTTTGACAAATATCATCCAAAATTTAAGTACCACATTCCTCCGAAATTCATCAATTTAATCAAGCAACAATAATAGCTAATGCTGATTGGGGTCAATGGAGTGAATGGACAGAATGTAGCCATTTTGTTAGTGGAAATTCTGCTCCATTTAGAACAAGATGGAGAGTTTGTGATAAAAGTAGATGTGATGTAGCCGCTGTGGCACACCCTATAGGAGGTATTCTTACAATTTTGAAGTCCCTAAAGTAAAAGAAAACTTTGGAACCCCTCAAAATATTAAGTCTCTTCGTCTTCTGTTGAATGCCAATTATGCCCCGGCGAATCTATGGAACAACAGAATTGCCCAACAAATCAAATTCATTATGAATCGCCAGGAATTGTTCCCTTAGAACACTTTCAATGCCATTGGAGTGAATGGTCAAATTGGAGGTAAAGGGGATTAAAAATGCTATTAAAAATTTTTTAAAGTGCATGTTCATCAACCTGTGGAACAGGAGTACGTATTAGAATGCGTGTTTGCTCATGCTCACAAGTTAATATTTTTTAAATAAAATTTTAAAAATATAGTCGGATATCAAAGTAAGATACATCTTCGGGCAGAAAAAATTTTTTACTTTAAGGAGGCCTTCGTTTCGTTAACCAGGATTCAATTTATTAATAGAATGGCTCCTTAGAACTAGAGTTGGGCGGGATCGGGATCCCGACGTAAAATCGGGATCGGGATTTTGGAATGATGATCCCGATCCCGGTCCCGATCCCGACTGCGGGATCGGGATTGGACGAAATCGGGATCGGGATTCGGAATAATGATCCCGATCCCGGTCCCGATCCCGACTCGGGATCGGGATTGAAAAATCGGGATCGGGATTTAGTTAAAAAAAATTTTCAAAATTTAAATTTTTATTTACATTGCATATACCTCAATATAATTCCATAATTTTCATCTGCTGTGCTGAAATATTGATTTTAAGTCCCAGCGCGCATTTGTTCTTGGCGTATCAGGGATTAAGGAGGAGGGATAAAGTATTAACGATAAGGTGATTCTGATGGATTAAGAGGGATATCGTTGATTAATGAGATATTGGGATCTAGATGAACATCTAGGATATCCATTATATCCGTTCAAATCCTTTCCGTCGATAGTTTTATAAATGAGTCTCTTCTTATTCACCGCCGGAGGCAAAAATTTTGAAAAACTTCGAAGATTCTCAACCAAAATCTTCATTTTTAGCGCCGCAGACGAAAATTTTGAAAATTTTGGATGGCGTAGAAGCCAAATTGCTTTCTTTTCAGCTCATTAATATATATTTTCATTAATTTATAAAATCCCGATTTCATCGGGATCCGATTGCTAATCCCGATCCCGGTCCCGATCCCGGCTCGGGATCGGGATCGGCCAAAACCGGGATCGGGATTTGTCTTTCGGGTTCGGGATCAGAAAAATCGGGATCGGGATTCAAAAAAACCGGGATAATCCCGCCCGATCCCGACCGGGATCCCGATCCCGCCCAACTCTACTTAGAACCAATCTATTAGAAGGGCCATTCAAATAGAGAGGGTCTTGTTAATGGTTGAAATCCGATATCTTAGGTAATGGGGTTATCTATCTAGGGATTTCTCCTCTGAATACCCAACAGAATTTCTGAAGTATCTTATGGATAGAGGTGTATCTATTTGAGTGCATCATACAATAAGATCCAAGTTATATTTAAACAATTTAGTGTCCAGATGGTCAAGCACAGGAAGAACAAAATTGTTATAATCTTCTACCTTGCCAGCCAACTCAACCCTACGGATGGTGGCTTGGAGGGATAGCACATAATTTAACAATCTCTCCGACTTTATCTTTTAATCCATGCATTTATTGTCCTCCAAACTATGCCCTTCCATGCTATACTTGTTTAAATTTACAATCACTGACTGGAAAATAAAAATAATTTGGACAATAATTTATTCACTAAATAATATTTTTATTTACTGAAATAATTATTTCCACTCTCGTATATTTCACGTTTCAACATCGATTCCCTTTAGATCTATTTAAACTAATTAAAAGACAGAATAAATGCGCAATTTTCATTTCACGTTTAATTAAAATGATAGAACTAAAAGTTATCTATTTGGCAAATAAAAACTAATTACACTAATCTATTTTAAGGAGATATGAAGGTAAAACAATAATAGCAGTATACTACGTATCAGAGGTGGATCGGAATTCCGACTTTCGATTTCCGTCGGTTTTTCCTTCCGATTTCTGAAAAAAATTATGATTTCCGATTTCTGAGTTCCGACTTCTGAACCAGTTCCGATTTCCGGCTCTTTCGATTTCCGACACCACTGACTGTTCCGACCCACCTCTGCTACGTATAGCGAGATTCGTTTGTATCTAATTTTTAAATTTTTGAAAGTAAAACAATATTTTACTCTTTAAACTCGTCTCAAAAAATAATCGTCATGAGTCTCCTCCAAGTGTGGCAAGCATGTAACCAAATCGAAAAGCTTGAAGAGAGACGGAGAGAACCTTTCCTGCACCGGCCGCTAAACCAGAGGCGACTTTCAAACCAGCAGCCAGTGTTGGTTTTCCTGTGCCGGTTGATGAACGAGTGCCGGCTGCTGCATTTGCAGCAGCCGGCACTCGTTCATCACCGGCTGCTGCATTTGCAGCAGCCGGCACTGATGAATTGCTACAACTAGATGAATTAGCATCTGGAATCTAAAATTATTTTTAATTCGAAAGAATTTTTTATATCTTGAATACCGGTAGACACCAACCAATTGGCCTTAATGTTGGTTGAGGTGATGGTTGAGGTGGTGGCTGAGTTAAAGTTGAAATAATGGCAAATATCCACTCTCTATTAAATTTTAAAAATAAAATTATTAAAATACAACTGAACTTAGGTTCCAAAAGTAATTAAAAAATATTAACTCTAATATCCTTTCTGATGGAAAAAGAATCCAGTGAGCTTTAGAGGCTTGTGAATCCATTCCAATACAGATCAAACGATTAACAGCTTTGTCTCTAACACCAAGTGGAAAAGATGGACGACGGACAGGTAGCCTATCACACATGGATCCAACAGCCGTGTACTGAACAACATTTTTTAGTGTAACTGTTTCGTGAGGTTTTCCATCACCCTGACATTAAAAATTTTTTGAAAAATTTTTATTACGGATAAATAAATGAGTATTAGGCAATTGGAGATATAACGGATAAATATAATTTACGCAAGTCTTTAGCATCAAACAGATCCAAAAATCGTATGAAAACTGACAAGGTTCGCCTGGCATTCCTGGTGGTGTACGGAATTTTGGCCAGACTTGGCAATGGATAACTTAGTTACCGTATTATTAAAAAATACAAGTGTTGAATCAGAATATAAAACAACAAAAGTGCTTTTCCATCTATTTGGAATTAATCCAGCTTTATAACGTTGTAAATAGCCTTCTTTAACTGGTGAAGACATTAACAAATAATATTTTACAATTTATATTATTCTCAAAAATAATAAATAGTCAAAAAATGATGTTAGTATTAGGTTAATTGACCCTGAAATAACTTTTGAAAGGGAATATCGAGGGAACAGGGGATTGTGGGATAAGTACCTAGTTCTACGGAGATAAGTACCAGCTCTGTATTTAATAACTATGGTCATAGTTATGATTTACCCTCAATCCCCCAAATCCCTCGATATTCCCTCCCTTATTCTCTGTCAAAAGCTATAGTTTTATAGGTCTTCATGGTTAAGTCTTATAGGTCTTCATGGTGTTGTCTCTTCTTTGTGGACAATAATAAATTGTTTCCCGTTCTAATAAGTAATCGGAAAGAAATTTTCTAATTTTTAGTAAGAAAAATAATTTTTTAATGAACCTAAAAACGTGAATAAAAAAAGGTTGTAATTTACCCAATAATTTATATTACCAATAATTTATTTACTAAATAATATTTTTATTCAGTAAAATAATTATTTCCGCTCTCGTATTTTTCACTTTCCATCATCGATTCTCTTTAGATCTATTTAAACAATTTAAAAAACTAAATAATTTCGCAACTTTATTTCCGTTTGAGTAGAATGATTCAACTATTAGTCATCTTTTAGCAAATAAAAACTAATTATCAAAATATGAAGGTCAAAAGATGACATATCAAAAAATGATATACTATGTAAATAATATCAGTGGACTCAAGGAATTTTAATAAATTACGGACCAATATTTGCGATACAAGACTTGGACCGAGTTGACTATGCAAAAATGTCGCAGAAGAAGATACGTAAAAAGTTAGAGGCAGTGATGCGAGAGTTCCAGTTCCGGAACTGGAACCGGTAATGATCTGGAACCGGTTTGGAACTGGAACGTTGGAACCGGTAGAGGTCTGGAACTGGTTTGGAACTTTTCTGGATATTAGGTTCGAACCCGGCCTTAATGTATATGTGGAAATTCGAAGTAATTAGATCCACTCTATCAACACATACGCTTATACCCTCCATGAACACCATACTTATAACCTCCCAAATTTTCTTTTGAAATATGTATTTTTATCAATTAAGAATGCCGATTCAATTACTTGATAATATAGTATAGAATAATGATTTAAATAATTATTGTGATTAAATTTTTGACATACAGTAGAACCTTTTTATCGCCCTAATAAATGAGTAGGAGTATAGTACCATAACGATATTCTTCTGTATTTAATTTTCAAATTTTTGGAAGTTAAATATCAAATTTTACTTTTGTAAATGTTTTATCTCGTCTCAAATGATAATATTCATCAATCTCCACCGCCACCGCCACCACCGCTATCACAGCCACCGCCACCACCGCTATCACAGCCACCGCCACCACCGCTATCACAACCACCTCCACCACTATCACATCCACCGCCACCACTATCAAAACCTCCACCCCAACCACTATCACATCCACCACCACCATAATCTCCACCATCATAATCCCAAGTATTCCCTCCACCATTATCATCTAAAAATAGATAATATGTAACAAACTTTTATATTCTAGAGGAAGCTGTAGGCCGTTAAAATCCATTAACCAATTTTGAATACATAAACTATGGACACGAGCCCCTTAATAAAACAAATTGAAACCGTTTCCGCCACCACTATATCTTCTTCCATTACCCCTTCCCCTCCCTCCACGTGTGGCAAAATGGCGACCAAACCCGTAAGCTCGAAGAGAGACTTGGAGTGCATTACCAGCACCGGCTGGCTAAAATTATTTTTAAATTAAAAAAAAAATTTTCTATCTTGAATACCGGATTTACACACCAACCAATTGGCTTTGGTGGTGGAGGTAAAGTTGAAATAATGGCATTGATCCATTCTCTATTAATTAAGATATTATATTTTATTGAGGTCCAAATGGTTAAAAAATATTAACTCTAAAATGTTTTCCGATTGAAAAAGAATCCAATGAACTTCTGAGGCCCGAGGATCCATTCCAATACCAACCAAACGTTGAACAGATACACCTCGCGATAGAAATGGACGACGGACAGGCATCCAATCACACATAAATCCAACACATATGTACGGAACAACATTCTTTAGAACAACTGTCTTGACAGGGCTTTCATCACCCTGACATTAAAAATTTCTTGATAAATTTTTATTGACGGTACGCCAATTAAATGAGTATTAGACAATTGCAAATACAATACATATAATATAAAAAATAATTATTTACTCAAGTCATTAGCATAACGCTAAAAAAATCGTATGAAAACTGTCAGGGATAGACTGGCATTCCAATCATTTTCCGTTTTCTCCTCAAAACAGGTTGGCACTTAAATTTTATATCTGCAATTGTCATTTCCAGAACTGTCAGCTGTTGTAGTCACATCGACAATTGCATATCCGCAATTGTCGTAATATATATTTATTGGCTTAAGTTCGTTTTATGGTTCTGATCCAAATAAGGATGATTTATATGTCATTCGAAAGAGCTCGTCGAGCTGAGTCGAACGTCATAAAAATTAGCGCGCGGACTCACCTGTGAAACGAGATAAGGCTCGAAATGGTCCGAGATGTAGGACCCTAAAAATCGAAGTTCCAAAGGAACGATTTTTTTAATAAAAAATTTTTTTGTACAAATAATAGCTCATTCGAAACTCAGCTCGACGAGCTCTTTCGAATTACATAAAAATCATCCATATCTGGATCAGAATCATAAAACGAACTCTAGCCTAGTTATTTACTTTATTTTTAAAAAATGCAAGTGTTGAATTAGAATATAAAACAGCATAATTACTTTTCCATATATAAAAAAAATAAGCTGTATATCGTTGTACATAGCCTTCTTTAACTGTTGAAGACATTTAAAAAATATTTTTAATAATCTATATTATTTTAAAAGATAATGAACAGTCAAAAAGGAATGTTAGTAGAAGGTTAGAATTAATTTTTGAAATAAAGTCTTTGAAGACCTCACACCAAATGCCTATTGACCTTGAAGACTTATAATTTTGAGATGGAATATCAAAAGATTAAGGAGGATAAGGACCTAGTTCAATGGAGATAACTATCCAGTTATGTATTTTATAAGTATGGCATTTGCGAGTGTATGCGTTGAGTAGCGATCTCAGTTCAACCACACCAATACCACCTTAACCCTCCAAATCCCACAATCTAATAGGTCTTCAAGTAGGTCTTCAAGATGATTCTAATAAGTCTTCAAGATGTCATCGAGGTGAAGGTCTTCATTTGTGGACTCGAATAAACTGGTTTTCCCCGGTATCACGACTTATGCGCCGCGACTTTTGCGCCGCCACAACCCTACTATAGTTAGGTCAGGCTGTAGTTATTGATATATTTTTAATGATAGTGGCGGCGCATAAGTCGCGGCGCAAATGTTATCGGCGCAAAAGTCAAGGAACCGTTTTCCCCTTGTTTGAATAAAAGATTGGATTTATAAAATAATCGGAAAGTTTTTTTTAATTTTTATTTGAAAAAGGGAAAATAATTTTTAGTGAACTTGAAAATAAAAGTTTAAATATTTCTATTTACTAAAATAATTCTTTCCCTCTCATATTTTTCACGTTCCAACATCGATTCCCATTAGATCTATTTAAACAATTTAAAGACCTATGTAGAATATGTTCGCAATTTTCCTTTCACGTTTAATTAAATGATAGAACTAAAAGTCATATATTTGGCAAATAAAACCAAATATATTTTAAAGAGTTGAAGATATATCAATATAATATCAGCGGACTCAAGTATAGAGGTAGAGTTTGCTAAAATGCCGCAAAAGTGGTAACAGATTATAGTTAAATTTAAAATTTAATCCCCTAAGCTAATAGTAGTCAAGCTTAGAATTATTCCAACAGTCATTCACCACAAATACCTGTATACATCCTATTCCACCGAATGCCTCTAATACTGCTATTGGCCTCATATTCATCGAATAATCTTTTTATCAATTTTTTCAACTTGGTCCTACTAATACTTACAATCTTTAACAGCATCAGTGTTACTTCAAACTTGACTACACTTGACTAACGTTTGATAGACCTTGTCAATAGAATGAATACAATAAGCTTGAATGCCTCTGAATAAGAATCTGATGTGCTCTTCGAATCACTGAATAATGCCAGAATACTCCCACGACTCCGAATAATTATCCAATAATAATAATAATAATTATTATAATAATTTTTTATATCTTGTTGTACTTGAACACGATCTTCCGCTTGTGGGGGAGTGCCTGTCCCCCAAAAGTTAAATTAATTTAAATTAACTTTTAAGCTAAATTAAATAAAATTTACCTCAAATAAAGCTTTTTTTAATATTATTTAATAAATTTAACTGAAAAAAGGCTTTAATATATAAATTAAATAATAATTTTTTATAGAAAAATCTTGGGGTTTTTGTGGTTTATTTAATTATTATTTTAATTCTTAAACTTTTTTTATTTTTTTATTCAGTTTTCTAAAAAAAAATTTTTTAGAAGTTGATACATTCCTTTTATTCCGCCAAAATATTAAATTATTATAAATTAAAAATACTTATATTAGAAATTTTTTAAAAGATCTTCTATTTTCTATTTAGTAAATTTAACATTAAAATGGAGGAAAATTATTATCACGATCTCTTAATAATACTCATACAACAATTAATTTCCATTGTGGGCATTATTCTTAATTTGACAGTCGTATGGGTGACTTTCAAACACAAGTACTTTTAATTTTTTAAATTCTTTGTGTACTTGGTACAATACCATAAAACCGAGGTTGGGTTTCGAGGTTGGGTAACCCGACACATCCCTGAACCATCCTAGACCCATCCCTAATGCTTCTTGGCTGTGGACCGGTATAAAGTCCCCGCAATTAAAAGTCCGCAAAGTGTTGCTTGATTTTGGTTGAGAAATTCGATTATACAAATGACAGGTTATTCAAAAGGGCTTGTTGAGCTAAATCATCTGATACCAAAACTAAAACTGATTCGAATAGAACTGGATTTTTTAAACTTGGAGCAATCGAGTATATTCTTATGATAAATTCCAGAAATCTCCAAACAAGTTATGGACTGCTTCTTTCTATTAATTGTTTGTGTGACGCAATTCTCGAGTCTGGAACATTTTTGCCTACAGTTTTAGTGATAATGCACACAAAAATTTCTATAACCTATTGTTCTTTTGCTACCAGCTGGCAAAATATAGTCGCTGGGATAAATTCAATGTTTAATATGTTTTTCATTAGCGTAGACCGTATTCTTGCTCTACTATTTCCTGTATTGTAAGTCTCCAAATATTTTAAAATTAGGTACTATTAGTAATGACGCTCATTATTCATTTCCTAGTCACTGACCATTTTGGGCTTTTTCCCTCTCTCTTTTGCACTAAATTTTCCTAAGTTTAAAGGAACTGAACTATCTAAAATAAAACTTGTCTTAAGGAGTTTGAACTTGATCACTGCGTTGAGATAATTTCTAAGCGATTTGTGAGATACACATCATTGTAAGCTCTCCTATTTCCAGACCCAATGTTGTATCAGATACCCATCCAATCTGCTTTATTCGATAAATATTTTTAGAGTAAAATTAATATTTTAATTTCAGTTACCGTTTTGTTCTAAAGAAAGGGGCCGTTAAATATGTAATGGTTCTTAATACACTTTCCCTGACATATGGCTTTATTTTTATGATTTTTGGCTTTAACTATGCTCTTGAAAACCCGGATATGTATGTTATTAATCAAGAATTCCCTAAACTTAAATTACCCTATAGAAAAGTCTATTGCAACACCCCAGAACAAATTGGAGGCGATATACTTAGTTTTGGTTATATTGTATCAATTTTGGTTACTTTGGTTACTATATTTAATTATATTATTGTTGGAATTATTATAAAATGTACGTTTAATTAAATTGAAATTTTTATACATACGTTGTGCTATTTATGTCTGACTCCGGACATGATCCTGTTCCTATTTCTGGGCCTGGTTAATCTTGAAAGTTTGATCGGATCAGAGAGTGCTAGACAGGATGATTGTTAAATCCGGGCATGAAGATAGAGTTTAAAAAATGATTGCTAGTTTTTAATCCGGTCAGGCTTCGATCCTACGACCTCCTGGCGGTTATTGCTAGGCGCTTCGCTCACCACGTACAGTTGCTCTACCAACTGAGCTACCGGAACGCTGCTTGCACCTTCTCTTTTATTAGATCTTAAACCCCCGCCTAGTGAGTGCTTAAAATGCTAGCCAGCTGGATCTTTCTCTTCCTTACTCTAGACAGTCCGATCATAATTCATTTTTGACATGTAATGATCCTGGTTTTGTATATCCGGATCCGCCATCTTTATCCGAACCGAAAATCCCGAGCCATTGAATTCAATTAATTAAAATTTGTACATTTTAATATTCCAGTATATCAAAGTGGAGAATCAAACGTTCAACAACTTCAAACCAAACGGATCTACAGATCACTTATTATGATAATATTTGTCATAGTTTTCTTAAATTTAACTGGACTGATTTGTACTAAATTTATTACTCCGTTAATAACAAATGATCCTGAAATGGAATTTTTGTATGTTCGTCTATTTGCTCAGCTTGTAACGGTATCGGGTGCAATCAACGCCCCAGTTTTGTATTTTTGCAGGTAAGGATTTTAACTTCATCCATTGACTTCATCCTTTAACTTGATACAAAATCTTATTAAAATTACAGCTCGGAATATCGAAATGCTCTGAACAAAGAATTTCCTTGGATTAGAAGCTTCCTACGAAAGATACCGTTAATATACCCCAAATCAAGTATTACTCCAAAGGTTCAAGTAGTTGCAACTGTTTATCAACATCAAAATCAACTTAAAAAATGAAGGAATGATGAATGATTTTAAAGATTCAATAGCAAAAATTATTGTATTTATTGTAGCTGGATGTACGAAATTTAAATTTATTTACAAATTTGAAGAGATTTGATTAAGACTTTATTTAATAATTAAAAAGTAAACATCAATTTTTCACTTTATCAGTTCTCTAAAAATTAATTTTTCACCAATCTCCACCACCACTGTCAAATCCGCCTCCACTATCAAATCCTCCACCACTGTCAAAGCCTCCACCAGAATCCCAAGCTCCCCCTCCATCATAGTCATAAGTTCCGCCACTATAATCAGTTATTCCAGGATTGGAGTAATCTAAAAATAGATGAGCACGTTTTTAGCTTCAATGGACAGCTCTGATGGAGCGCTCAGTTATATGAATAAGGGCCTGTTTGTCTACTTCCCGAATCCGGCCTAAGTGGCACTAAAGAACCTCTATGAAATTCGGCCTTAGTGGATCCGGCAAGAAACCATGTAAAAACACAATACCGGTGATTGGTCGGATTGAAAAAAAGTCGGTTCGGTTCTGGGTCGTAAAAAGTTCGGATATCGAGTGACACGGACAATTCATTCACTGTACCCCGGCATTTACCTGTAGAGTCAGTGACATCGTTCACTACAGGTGATGAGCTTTGATTATTATCATCATTCATATAATAGTTGTTAGTTATGTAAGTATCATTATCCTTCAATTTCAGTTCGTTCAGATTTATAAATCTAGGTAACCTGTATATATCCACCTCCAAATCCACTGCCTCCATAACCCCCTCCCCATCCACCACCTCCCCAGCCCCCATGTGGGGCAAACATACTGCCAATACCGTAACCTAGAAGAGAGCCTAGGAGTGCCCCTCCAGCTCCGGCTGCTAAACCAGTACCAAATGTAGAAGTAGCAGTTGGTCTAAAAATTAAGTTAAGGTCAAATCTGATTATAAGGTAAACCAATGGGGTTTGAAAATATTATCTCTTATAATGAAGCGTATATTAAATAGAGGGTATCGCTTATTAAGTTAAACCCGGGCTGTATACCAGATTATTGTATGCCAATTTTTATCAATTCCAATTTTTCAAATTCTTAAAAAACGCCAAACACCATAACGCCAAAATCGACTTAGAATAACGATAGAATACCTTGGCGCTCAGCCCCAAAACGAGCTTAAAACGATTTTAAACAGAGGTGTGACTAACTTTGGGTTTATCCTAGGTGTGTATATCCCCTTGAAATTTTTAAAATCAAAAAATTTACTGGGCATAGGTTGTTGATGTCCGATCAATAATTACTGTTTGAGGCTGTGGGGAACGATAATAAGGTTGTTGCTGTGGATATTGAGGTCTAGCTCCATAAGGAATCTTAAATCAGTTAAAGAAAATTAGAAAATAATTTTCTTATCCACCTGTTGCGGCTGCTGAACGTTGGAAGGGTAAGTATTAGACATTGGTGGTGTTGGATAAGCAGGTGGGGCGTCCGGGTATCTTGCTGGAGGAACTAATATAATTTATTTTATTATTAACTCAAATTAAAACCAAAAGTTTTTTCACTTGTAGGTTGTTGAGGAACATTCTGCGAAGGATTTGTTGGTGGTTTGGGGAGAGTTGAAAGGATAGCATTCATCCATTCTCTAAGTTTGAAGAGATATATTTGTTAAAGCCAAACATTTACTACTATAAGATACACCTTTGGGATTCGAAATTGAATCTTATAACTGAGGCATATATTAAAGTAAGGGTAAAGCTTGAGCAGCTTCCCCATCCCTAACCAACAGAATGCAAAAAATGATTTTTAAACTGAATGTAACTAGCAGGAACGGCAAGGAAGCCAGAAACCTGGAACCAGGACATTTTTCTTCCAGCCCATTTCTGCTAGATTTTTCCGACCTTGAGATGTCTGAGAATTATATGGAGATCGCGAATAAACTCGAAAATGTGAGACGGACAACAGAAGACCGGTCTGATTCTGTTTGGTGCCGGACACTAATGTATATCTTATAGTATGTCTGACTATAGTAATAGACATACTCTAATATTTGTTCTGATGGAAAAAGAATCCAATGAACTTTTGAGGCCTGTGGATCCATTCCAATACCCACCAAACGTTGAACGGCTACACCTTGTGGTAGAGATGGACGACGGACAGGCATCCTATCACACATGAATCCAACACAGGTGTAAGGGACAACATTTTTTAGAAAAACAGTTTCGACTGGTCTTGCATCACCCTTAGATTAAATTTTTTTAATTTATTTATCTTGGAATAATTAGGTAACTTGGGATTGAGTTGGCCAGATATTTTCAAATTTTCCAAAAAAAGTTTAAATAAGACAAAGGGGGATATAAAAATTTACTTATAGTCAGGATTCAGCTAAAGAGGAGAGAATTACAATCTCGAGATATTGTAACGAGATTGAGTTTAAGAAGGTAGAACGACGCAGGATTCATCGGATTAGCCCCTAAATCCTGTAATCACTTTTGTTGCTCAAAACCTGGTATTCCGAGACGGAATCCACCCTTGCTTTATTCTAAGGTAAGCCAAAATTACGCCCATACCTAATATACCTATAATAATTTCACTTTCGTTTATCTCCAAAATTTACTTAATCTTATCAAACCGTCACAATATATTTAAAATAATTTTTAAATAATTATCTACCCGATTATTAAAAAATGCAAGAGTTGAATCAGAATATAACACAGCATAATTACTTTTCCATTTATTAGAAATTAAAAATCCAGCTTTATAACGTTGTATAAAGCCTTCTTTAATCAACGAAGACATTTAAAAATAAATTTTAGAAAATCTATTTAAACAAATAATAATGAAATTTTAATAATTTGGGTTAAAATACCCAAGAATTATTCAGAAAATTATTCAAAAAAATATATTTATTTCCATAGCAACGCCTTTCAGTGTATATTTACCCGTTTTACTCTTCATTTTATCTTTAAAATTATAACAGGCAAAAATTGGGGAGATATTTACTTATAAAAATTGAATTAGAATAAGTCCAGTGCCTCAAAACCTAGGATTTTACACGGCTTCAGGTCTTTATAACCGTCGAGTCCATGTATCCTTATCCTCTTATTTTCCTTTTGTTTTCCGGGTTTTAACAATAAAAACTTGGATTGGGTTCATAAAAGATATAGGTACATATTTGTCTATTGGCGTTTAACCATTCGTAATTTTAAAGAGAAAAATGTAAGGAGATGAAAAATGGAGTGAGATGATGTGATAACAATAAAAAAATTTTTGTTAATTATTTAGCATGCATAATTATAGGGTGTAAATAAATAATATAATAATTCGAAAAGAAAATTGGATGAGATGATGTGATAATAATGAAATTTTTTGTCATTATTTAGCATGCATAATTATAAGGTGCAAATAAATAATAAAATAATTCATTGAGGTTATTGACTTGCTCCAAAAAAACCAGAAAGATTTTATAAAAGTAAAAAAGGTTATAAAGATTATACTAAAATTGTTTAACTAAAATAAAATTAAGTATTTTCCGAGATAATTTTTAAGGAACGTGTCATAAATCAAAAATTGTAAGGGTATAAATTATAAGGAAATATTTTTCATTTTTTAGAATTTTCTAGAAAAGAAATTGAAAAGCGATTTTTTAAATAATTTATTGTAAAAAATAAAAAATAAATAGTAGTTATGTAGGTAGTTACATAATACTTTAATAAATATTTCTATTTACTTAATTTTTCTCCTCTCTTTCAATAGTTTTCACATTCCAACATCGATTTTTCTTTTAGCCAGTATTGACATTTTAAACGACGGCCTGGAATTTCGCAATTTTTACTCTCGTCATAAATAGAATGATAAAACAATGAGGCATGTATTTGGCAATTAAAAACAAATTATTGTAAAAATATGTGGCATTTTAACGATATCAATTGACTTTTATCCGTTGGATTTTGATAAATAAATTACTAGACAACCTAGGAATTAAATTTATAAAATTGAAAAATTTAAAACAAACAGTAGTGATGTTCGAGACTCTCGGTCTCGACTCTCGAGTCGAGAAATTTCTCGGGTTTTTTGAGCTCTCGGTCTCGGTCTCGGTCTCGGTGTTTTGGTCTCGGAAAACGAGACTAAATTTACAACCCTAATGACGGAAATTTTTTGAACTTTACTCGGACCTTGCGTACTTTGATATTAAAATTTTTAAGGAAAAGTCTCCAAAATTCCCAAAATTTTGCCTGCGGCGCTGAAAAATGGAAGAAATCTGGCTTCTTGAGCTCCAAAATTCTCAAAATTTTCGCCTGCGGCGCTGAAAATGGAGGAAATTTGGCTTCTTGAGCTCCAAAATTCAAAAAATTTTCGCCTGCGGCGCTGAAAATGGAGGAAATTTGGCTTCTTGAGCTCCAAAATTCAAAAAATTTTCGCCTGCGGCGCCAAAAATGCAGCAAAAATTTGAATTTAATAAGATTAAAGGATTAGATTTTGTGGTTTGTGGTATATTAGATACTGTGGATTCTGAAGGATAAAATTTAATATCAAGGGATGGGTGCATCGATGGATCAAAAAGATATTGTTGGATTTGTAGGGATATGGAAGGATATGAGGGGATTTTAAGAGATTAATGTGAATATCATTGAATATATATTGTGGACAAGTGGATTCAAGCGAGTATGGGGATTTTGAGGTATATCAAGGGATTTTTGGGGATTAGGAGGGACATCAAGTGATATCCCTCTTAATCTCTCGGTCTCGACTCTCGGTCTCGACTCTCGACTCTCGTTTTGGTCTCGGTCTCGGGGTTGATTCTCGGTCTCGGTCTCGACTCTCGACTCTCGGGATTTTTTGACTCTCGAACATCACTAACAAACAGTGAAGTTAAAAAAATTCGCAATCCTGTTGGATTTTGATAAATAAATTACTTGACAACCTATGAATTAAAAAATTTTTATTATAAATTTAGAAATTTTAAACAAACAGTGAATATTTAAAAAGTTCGACATAGACGATCATAAAGTTGATGTGCAGCAAGAAATTAAAAATCAATAACCAATTTGAGAACTAGAAGCACTAAAAACATTTTTCTGAATAAAAGAAATATTAATTTTCATGAGATTAAACATTGTTTAATAAACTGCTTTTGTATTTTTTAACAATTCGTAGCAATATTCGACCATACTTCACATTCAATTTTGGAAGTGATTGGATATCCGTTCACAATAATATTCCGCAGATACAGTTCCGAGTTATCAATTAAGTAAAACTCAACATTAAGTATTTTCACAAAATGTAATATGCCTAAATATTAAAGGAATAATATAATAAAAAACAAATAAGGAGTAAGTATGAAACAAATTAAAAAGAATTCCAAATTAAGAACATAAATTTACTTTTATAGAAAAATGTAACACTACAAAAAGGTTAAAATGTAATTTATTTAAATTAAATTATACTATGTATTTTTAAAAAAATTTTACCAAAAATTTTTTAAAATCCTCATATAATAATGGGATTTTATTCCAAGAAAGCAATCTACCAGCAAATTTATTTTAAACATTTTTAAGAAATAACATTTCGTTAAAATTATTTTTCTTTAATAAAATTTATTTTTAATTAAAATCTCACAGACATAGAAAAATTAAATAAAAAATTTATTAAAAAATTAAATTTTTCACAGAAAATTAATTTATTAAAAGCTATTTTTAACAAATATTTTTAAACAAATTTATCCGTAACTTTATTAATTTTATATATTAATTTTTTAAATTTTTGTAGTTTGAAAAATATTAATTTTTTCAGAAATAAAAAATTAAAAAACTTATTGGAATTTTGTATTAAAATTATCTATGTAGCTCGGGAAAATTTGTTTAATTTAATATTTCAAATATGGAACACCTTCATTAATTTTATTATAACATTATTTTACATTATTTAATCATTTATTAATTTTATTTAAATAAAAAATATCTATATAAAAATTATTCATTATTTTTTTAAATAATTTAGATTTATATTTTTAACCCTTATTATGTGATAAGCCCCTAGGATTGAAAATTTTTTATCCTATATGATATAAAGAATATAGCTATTTAATTCCTAAGGCTATGCAGTAGGCGGAGTATTGTGATCGCTAACACATCAGTCCGGTCTACTGAAGATGTTGGTTCGCTCTCAGCCGCCGAATAACCTTTTGCACTAGCTAAAGGAGAGAAATAGCTATAACCCAGCCGCTTTACTATGAAGTATCTCACAATTTATGAGGTGGTATATGTGGCTCATCTCCCAGTGTGGGCCATCCTTAGCCAATGAAAATTTTTAAAAGACGTATATCGAGGTTATATCTGATATTGAGTTTTTAGATATGGCAGACAGTATCTACATTCTCCGAAAATTTCTGAATTTTTGGACCAGAATTTAGAATATTATGGGCAAGAATGTCTCATATACCGAAAAAATACCTAATTTTTTTCTAGGTTTATTTTTATAACATCAAAAATATTTGATAAAAAATTCTGAAATTTATGTAGGAGATGGTCGAGTATGATAAGCTAATTTGAGAAAATTTTGAAGAATATATGTATAAGCTACGTGACAGTGTTGAGGAGCGCGCCTAAATGATCTGACGCCCACGGGGACACCCTGTTATTTTCTTTTAATAAGAAAAATAATTCTTGGTCTTCCAAAAAATTTTTGCAAGGCTTTAATTATATAAATAATATGAAATTAAAAAATTTGCCCAAGCAAATAAATAGAAGCTAATGTGATAAAACCCAAAATTTTAAGCGGACGTATAGTTATTACGCACACTAATAGCTTCCGAAAATATTTTTTAATAATTTTTGGTCTTTCAAAAAATTTTTTTCAAACTTGGCGAAGTCTAATGTGATGAAACCCAAAATTTTGAGTGGACGTATAGCACTGTAATAACTTCCGAAAATAATTTTTTAATAATTTTTGGTCTTTCTAATAATTTTTCCAAGGCTTTAATTATATAAAATATATTTTCTTTATTATTTAAGGAAGATTTTTATTCATTTATGCCAATTAAGTTGCATTGCTTATTTATTCTTTGGCCTAATTTATTTAATATTAAATTGCTTTATTTATTCAAGCAATGCAAATAAATAGAAGCCCCCAAAAATAGATTAAACTTGGGCAAGTTTATTTTATTAATAAAAATTATATATTATATTAATCTTGAAACTTGAGCTTATTAAATATAAACCATAGAAATATTGTAAACTTGGATAAGTTTATTTACATATTATAAATAGAAACTTGAAACAAATAAAAACCAATGAAGATAAATAAACTTGGACAAGTTTTATTTTTACGTATTTTAACTTAAACTCAAAACTTATTTAATATCAAGTTTAAGCTTAAAACTTGATATTTAGAATTAATATCAAGTTTAAACTTAAAACTTGATATTTAAAATTAATATCAAGTTTAAACTTAAAACTTGATATTTAAAATTAATATCAAGTTTAAACTTAATATTTAGCTCAAACTTGATCTTTAGAATTAATATCAAGTTTAAACTTAAAACTTGATATTTAAATTAAATATCAAGTTTAAGCTTAAAACTTAATCAATATCGAACTTAAAAAACTTGATTAATTTTATTTGTTCCCTAGTTTTGACTATATGTATTAAGCAAACACCCACACATTTTCTCATTAATAAATTGGCTAAACATAAGAAATTACTCAATGCCATAAGCTTGTATTTTTGGTATTTCTTTTATTTAATTTTTGGGCAAATAAAAGCTTAAAAGAATTTGTCTCAGGCCTTATGGGAACAATAAAATGATGTTATGGATTTGGGAATGAATTTTTTATGTTATTTTTGCTTAAATTCTCGTTCTTGTTTTTCCCCAATCAGTTAAAAATTTACTTAAAATTTGACGTAAAAATAAAAAAAACTCCTTTCAAAACACCAAAAAGGTGTGCCATAATTATTTTAGAAAATGCAACATTTCTTAGCAAAATAAAACTAATTTAATTATTTGTTTAGAAATATAGTAATTGAATAATTTCCATATATAAAATTTTAAATTTATTTTTTAACAAAATACATTTAATTATTATTTTGAAAATATGTATATTTTTTAAGAATTATTTTAAAATAAATATAAAATATTTTAATAAATACAAAAATAAATAAAAATACAAAGCTTGACATATTTAAAATACAGAAACAAAACACAAAATAAGTTTGAATTACAAAATAAAATACAAAAATAAAGTTTTATATTTCAAGTTTATCTTTGTATTTCAGGTTTACTATTTGTTTTACAAGTTTATTTTTTATTTCAAGTTTATTTTGTGTATTACAAGTTTCATTTTGTAATTAACGTTTATTTTGTAAATCAAGTTTATTTTTCGTATTCAAGTTTTACTTATAATTTAAGTTTAAGCTTGTATTTTAGGTTTATTATTTGTATTTCAAGTTTATTCTTGTATTTTAAGTTTATTTTTATAAACTAAATTAAATAAATAATTATTCCAATGGATACAAACAATAACACAATAACTACAAAATCCTCCCCAGCACCCATTAATTTCGCAATTGCATTGGCAGAATTAATGTTGGATATATCAGCATTAATACCAAATATATATTTTATTTTCATTCTGTGGAGCAGACAAGATCTTCATAATAATTTACGTGTTCTCTTAGCCTCTTTTTCGAGTTGTTTGATTTTGGTGGGTTATTTAAATATTGAATTAAAATTTAAACTGAAATAATAAAACATGAAAAATAATAATAAACTTAAGTTCACTTTAATTTCAAGTTTATTCTAACGTTATTTTATTTATTTTTAAGTTCAAGCTTATTTTTAAGTGTTTTTGAGTTTATGCTTATTTTTAGGTTTATTTTTGTGTTTTTAAGTTCAAGTTTATTTTTAAGTTTATTTTTGTGTTTTTAAGTTTAGGCTTGTTTTTATGTTTTATTGTGTTTTTAAGTTTAAGCTTGTTTTTATGTTTATTTTTGTGTTTTTAAGTTTAAGCTTGTTTTTATGTTTTCTTGTGTTTTTAAGTTTAAGATTGTTTTTATGTTTATTCTTGTGTTTTTAAGTTTAAGCTTGTTTTTATGTTTATTCTAGTGTTCTTAAGTTTAAGCTTGTTTTTATGTTTATTCTTGTGTTTTTAAGTTTAAGCTTGTTTTTAGGTTTATTTTTGTGTTTTTAAGTTCAAGTTTATTTTTAAGTTTATTTTTGTGTTTTTATGTTTAGTCTTATTTTTATGTTTATTCTAGTGTTCTTAAGTTTAAGCTTGTTTTTATGTTTATTCTTGTGTTTTTAAGTTCAAGTTTATTTTATGTTTATCTTGTGTTTTTAAGTTTATTCTTATTTTTATGTTTATTCTAGTGTTTTTAAGTTTAAGCTTGTTTTTATGTTTATTCTAGTGTTCTTAAGTTTAAGCTTGTTTTTATGTTTATTTTTGTGTTTTTAAGTTCAAGTTTATTTTTAAGTTTATTTTTGTGTTTTTAAGTTTAAGCTTATTTCTATGTTTATTCTAGTGTTTTTAAGTTTAAGCTTGTTTTTATGTTTATTCTTGTGTTTTTATGTTTAGTCTTATTTTTATGTTTATTCTAGTGTTCTTAAGTTTAAGCTTATTTTTATGTTTATTCTAGTGTTTTTAAGTTTAAGCTTGTTTTTATGTTTATTCTTGTGTTTTTAAGTTTAAGCTTGTTTTTATGTTTATTCTTGTGTTTTTAAGTTCAAGTTTATTTTTAAGTTTATTTTTGTGTTTTTAAGTTTAAGCTTATTTCTATGTTTATTCCTGTGTTTTTAAGTCGAGCTTATTTTTATGTTTATTTTTGTGTTTTTAAGTTCAAGCTTATTTTAAAGTTATCTTTGTGTTTAAGTTTCAAGCTTATTTTGAAGTTATTTTTGTGTTTTTAAGTTTAAGTAATAACTCTAAGTATGAATAAAATAACTCTAAGTATGCATTTTTAAACTTATAGTACTAATCAAGTTTAATATTTAATAAACTTAACATATATTTTACTATTCAAATAGGTTGCTTTAACACGTCTTCCAACAGAATTTAATTATATTTTTACTGGAGTGTTATATATAGATATTTTTAATTGGCTTGTTTATGGCCATGAAGTAGCTGTTATGGTCAATAAATTTTTATTAAGTAAAAAAAATTTTTAATTTTTAAGTTCTTTCGAACCATAATAGTTCCACTTACCTTCGAAAGAGGTATTTTTTAATTATAAGAATAATTTTTAAAAATTATCTTAAGTGCTAGCTACCATTTACTCGAAAAATTATGAACAACAAAAATCGCCCAAAATTGGAATATGGGCAGTTGTTTTGACGGTATGATTTTTCTTCTTTTAATAGTCCTAAGTTTTCAATTTTATGCCCCTTAAAGTTAAATTTTCCAGAAGCCGTTTAGCCAGCAAGCAAGTCTAAGGGTCTTGGATAGCTCTATAAACTAAGAATGTTACGACTCGAGTATATACGGTCAAAAAGCCGAGGGGATTTTACTTTATGTCTGTGCCAACCCTAAAAATACTATTAAGAAATCTCGATATTACGAGACTCATTCATCTAATTTGCTGAATTTAATAAAAAAGTTTCGAGGAATCAGAGTTAAATCGGGCTAAAGCACACCCATCAGGACCAGGTGATAACGAAAGAGACCATTTCAAAAAATGCAAAATGCAATGGACCAAAGCAGGGCTTTCTGAGAAAGAAAGTGGCTTACAGATTTTCTCGATTAATTCCCCTGGGGAATTATTGTTTCAACTTACCTCTGACAAGGGGAATTATTCGAGTTCTGACATTTGAACGTGCAGTAGTGTATTTGGGGGTAGGGAATTATTGTATCAACCCAACTCTAGCATGGGGAATTAATCGAGAGAGGGAATTATTCGAGGAAGGGGAATTAATTGAGAAAATACGGTATGTTCTAGGAAATATTATTCGAGATTTATAAATTATTATTAAATACCTATAAGAAAATAAAGTAAAAAAATTTTTTTTAGTTATTAATCAGCATAGCTATTGGTATATACATTGGAAGTGAATTAAACAATTCATCAATTCGAAATGGAGTAATAACTTTCCGTGGAAGTTATTACGGGCTTTACCATATAATAGACGTCTCTGTACGCTTAGTTATTTGGATTATTTGTTTCGCAATTTTTGTTTTGATTTTGCGTTATAATCAACGTTGTTATGCATTTTCCCGATTGCCGAACAAACACAATCTAGTACAGCGATATCAATTTGCTGAAAATGTTCGGTCTTCGAAACTTTTGTTGGCTGTTGGAATTATTATTTTTGTTTGGTTAGTAGGAGATTTTTTAAAAATTTTTTATGAACAGAGGACTAATAACCAGGGATTTTTATTGTGTAAGGAGGAAAGGTTCATCTTGATTGCCAAAACATTGGAAAGATTAGAAAATTCCGATTCATATCTAAGTTTGATAGGATTTAAAACTCATAGGCAGGGTATGTTTCAGTATCTCTTAATAAATGGAAGTCTTATTTCTATATAATTTTTTTCTAAATAACCACATATATGGACTAGGATTGGTGGATCCGGATAAAAAATATCAGGATATCCAAAAGATTTTAGCTCCCATATCAGATCCAGATATCTGGAGATTTCTCGAATTACCATTGCGGCTACTATTAGTGGAAATACGGAATGTAAATTAAATTTTGGGCAGAATTTCGTTAACATCTTCTTCCAAAATTTCTTAAAATTACATTAAAATTTAACAAATTTTAAGCAATCTACATTTTGATTGTGTCATGATCCGTATAGCGTACAATAAAGATTATTTTAATGTAGAATATTCACAATCTTTTGATTTCGTTTTGGCTGTGGCTTTAAATGCTATTCCAATTGCTGCAATATGGTTTTTTAAATTTTTTATTCCTAGGCCTTGATCATAGTAAAAAGAAGAGTCTATTAGATATTAGAAGGGTTTAAGATGAAGAAAGCATGGTAACTCAGTTGGTAGAACCCCTTTACGCGAAGGCGTTTAGCAATGGCTTCCAGGAGGTCGCAGGATCGATGCCTTACCGGTGCTATTTCCACCTCACTCTCAAAGCTCGTGTTTTTGAAAACCACAAAGTTTACAGTAGACTTAAGTTCAAAACTTTAGTTGGGGTAAGTGCGAATCAAAGCCCTATAACTGTCCATGACTATTGATCTTGTATCCTTACTTCAATCATTCCATCCATTTCTGACATAGGTCTTGAGACTCGGAAATTCCCCTCTTGGGCAGCTCTACAAAACTCTTTAAAAATGTATTTTAAGGTTTCATTCCTCGATGTTGGAAGCCTTTAAATCCCATCTAAAACAATTGACATCATGCCTCTGCAGTTTTAAATGTTGCTCCAAAAATAATTCTCTCCAACCACAACCGCAACTTCCTATAAATTCAATTTTGCCGTTTCCACCAAATCAACCAACAAATACAACTAAGAGATTAAATAATTATAAATCACCCAGAGCTTTATTAACTGGGCAAAAATTAATAATTGGTAGGGAAGAGGAACAACGAGTTTATTTCAATGAATTACGCAAAAGTTGGAATGTGCCACCTTATGAGATGAAGAAGAAATATATTAAATATTAATTGTATTAATTATTATTTTTTATTTTTGAATAATAAAATGAAGTAGTCGTTTGATCCAGTGAGGTCAACCGAAATCCGATACTCGAACTCCGATACCTGGACAATTTTTGTTACGATACCTGCCAGAGAAATTTTTGAAAATCCGACACAAAATCTTGCCCAACTTTTCCTCTACACGTCAAAGCCTGGCCTGACCCCATACCAGATGATTAGCCCACTTGGAAAAATTATTCAAGTCGGAATTGGGTTTGCCAAATACTATCAAATTATGCAAAAAAAAATATTAATTAAATTAGAAACGTGTTGATTGTAAATTTTTTTTTGAATTATTCAAATAAATTCACAAAATTCAAAATTCTCAAAAAACGCGAATGAGGATAAAATGTCATTTAATTTGAATCTCTTCTCTAATATTTTTATCAAAAACAAATAAACTAATATTAAGTAAATATTCATTAAACAACTAAATTAATTATCTAGTAATAATTGTGTTACTATTCGTAGTATTTCTTTGCATTCCCACAGTAAACGTATTTAACGGCACAACAGAATCAGATCCATGAGAGTTGAAAATTAACGAAATAAAAGCCTTTCTGTAATGTCTTAAAGTCAAAATGGTAACTATTGGATTAAATATAGCTATCCAAGGAATTGGCAAACGAAGTAGCATTAACTAAAAAAAATTAGTATTAAAATTAAAATTAATAAAATACAAATTGTAAAATCCAAGTAGATGAAAATTGACTAAACAAGTTTGCAAGGGTAAAAATGCAAGTAATCCAAATTGGTATTAATGTAAGTAAAGGTAGTAATAACTGAAAGATTTATTAATAGATTACGGTACTAGATACTAATGGCGTTCCACTCTCCAACTTATTCCCCAGACAATTTAGTGAGCTTGAGTGAAATTCGGATATGCCATCAGATAGTAACCTGAACAATAAACTAACGGTAGATATAAGAGTTTAGGTAAATGATCTCATAATGGTCAGACTTTCTTACTCCCTCAATTTCTCTACAATAATTCCTCTTCCATTCAAAAATTCAATAAACTAGGTCCAGACAGTATTTTAATCAGACTATGTTTTGCCCCTAATTCTAGTTTAAGCATCTAGAAATCCAACCCAAATGGCCA